ATTTGGGTCTACGAAAACCAGGAAACAAGTTCGGGACTCGATTAGCGTGGGGAAGGGTTAGCATCCCTATGGCGTCCAGAAATTGGTATATATTCAATTACCCTATATTTGAAAATTGAAAATTTTAAGTTTGAGATTTTATTTAATTTAAAAATCATTATGATGCAAGTTTGAAAATGATATTAATTTATTGAGATCAATAATATTCATCTTCAAGCATTTATATGAAAGCTCAATTATTTATCCCAACAAACGAACATTGCCTTAAAGATTAAGAAATCATGACAGGGGTTTTTGCAAAAGGATGTCGGTTTAATTTAGAAATTACCAGTGGTCACCCCCAGAGCATAACACGAAGGATACACCATTAACTCCTTGATAAATGAATATTGTCTTGTTATTTTGAAATCGGAATGCAATTAGACAACCTTTTAAAGACCTAATTATGCTAGGTGAATTTATTAAGGCTTTCCTAACTTATCAAATCATGAAAATTGAAGAACCTAATGGACTAAACCTGAAAAATAAAGTCTCTAATATTAATTCTAACTTATTTTAAGACATTATTGAATTGAATAATCAATTTGAATAATCGGACATCTAAATACGAAAACCCAAATCGAATTATTCCTAAATTACGGGGCTAGGATGAAATTAAATCTAAAATGGAGGCACTAATTATTAAACTAATTAATTACGTTAAAAGAATATTTGAATTAAAAATTTAAGGACTAAATTGTGAAAAATCTAAAGTTAAGATTCTAATTATTACCCTAATTAATTTTAACCAATTATGGAATTGAATAATCAAAATGGACTCTCGGGCATTTTAATGCGAGGGCCAAATCAAATTATTCCCTAAATTAAAAAGTTTAAGGACTAAAGTGTAAAAGTTATAAATCTAGGGGTTGAACTTAATAACTAATTAATTAAAGAAAGGATTAAACCTAAAATAATAAATCACATTAAATTAAAATATTATACTTTAATTAGTACATACCATAATTAGCATACTCTAATTAACTAGTACATACCATTGGGCTCCAAATTACATTATTCTACTTGTTTTGATGCCAAGAACACAGATCCGGGATCATCTTCACAAGAATCGTCCCTAATCTCCATAGAAACGACCGAGAACGTTTCGACTTTCAATGCTCCGATCTCCTCCGGCAACCATTGGATGATGCATATTTTGAAATATGCTACTCCTAAGGGACTAACATGGCTTCTCATCGTCCGAATTACCTAACAGAGGTCCTCAACACCGGCAAGCCTTCCTTTCGACCTAGGTGGTCGAAAGGTAATAAAACCGAATCCTTTTCACTCTTTTTTTTATTTGTTTTGAATAGGTCCATATGCATACAAAAAAAAAATGGAAAATGATTGGACTTTGTATTGCTTCTGTGTTCTTTCGAAAATGGGTGGGATGAACTTTGTATTGCTTCGATCTCTCAAAAAATGGGGGACCAACCCTTTAATGATTTTCTTTTGGATTTTTATAGCCATTTTTTACATATGAAAACCAACAAAAATTTACATTTTTTGTTACTCATTTTTTTACCACTTTGTATTTTTGCATGTGCTGTCACTACTAAGGTGTTGAGGAGAAATCGATGGCCGTTTTGAGGTCGGTTACTGGTGGGACCTTGATGGTATTCGGTGCAAAATGAGGATGCAACTGGTGACTTGGAGCCTTGTGGAAGATGTTGGAAGCTTGCTGACGTTGCTGGTGAATCGTGAGAGGCGGTGCACGGGTTCAAGCAAACCCTAATATGATATTGGTATGTTTGTTTGGGCCTTTTCATTTGGGTCTCTTAGGTCTATAGTTATTTTGGGTAAATAATGGGTCTTGTTTTGTTGGGTTTAGGTCAAATATAATCATTTGATGATGATTTGGTTCTTTTGTGTAATGGTTAAATGATTTGGTTTGATGGATATGTAAAATGGGTATTGTAAATGGGCTATGGTTAGTTGGGTCAATTTGGGTTATAAATGAATGGGCTACATTGATTTATTTTAAATGCAATTGGTATGGGTCTTATGAAATAGACACTTGGATAGAAATTTGGTACCAAAAATTGAATTTTAATTTGGATTCCAATCTTGAAATAAATGATCACCTAAACATAAGCAAACATTTGAACCAATGGTCAAACTTTCCATGAACCTAATGCCCATGATTTTAAATTGGTCTTCAACACGCTCGATCCGATTTGAATTGAGTTACTTGGACAAAAATAGGGTATAACAGTTGTCCCTATTTGTTTGTTGTTGTGAAACAACAATGAAGCAAAGATAAAAGATAGCCTAATTTTGTTTGATCTGACTGCAACTCTATCTTTGGCACCACATATTTGATCTTTTATTAATACGCTCCCCAATCCTTTAATTTAACGATATGTTTCTTTGTATCTAAAACTCTCTTACTTGATTTCCCTCAATCTCACACATGTTGGTCTTTTCAGTTGATTGATATGCTTCACGTATCTGAAAACTCTCTCACTCCACTTGCACTTAATCCTAAATATGATATACTGCAAAGGACACAATGAACACTTATCAACACGTCTGAGGATTTATTTTATTTATTATTGTTTTTTCATTTCTTTCATTTCATTTTCTCTTTCTATCAACTAAGAATAATAACATCGATGTTGTTCCAACTCCTTATGCGATGGAAACAAGTGAAATGGTGATGCTGATACAATTCCTTATGTGACAGAATCTAGCAAAAAGGTCGATGCTGCTCCAAATCCGTATGTGATAGAAACAGGCAAAATGTTGATGTTGATCCAATTCCTTATGTGATGGAATCAGGCGAAATGGTGATGCTGATCCAACTCATTATGTGATGGAATCGGGCGAAACAATGATATTGATCCAACTCCTTTATGTGATGGATGAACCAAGGTTGAACAAGTTTTTCTAATTATGAATTTTTTCTTCCTCGTCGGTTGAGTTCTTCTCATTACAAACTGTTAGGTGTGTAAAAGTACTAATTTATCTACCTTTTTACTCATAATTATTGTTAGATTCAAGTTAATTTATTTGCATTATTAATATTCCATGGATAATCACATAGTTTCCTTCATTGCCGAGTTGATATTATATTTTTATTTATTTTTGTGGAAAATATTATGATGGTGTGTATTATTTTGTGCAAGATAATGTTGACTAGATAAATCCACCTCATTAGAGATAATCATAGCACATGAAAATAATTCCTAAAAGTTTGGATTTCCAAGAAAAGTTTAAAGAATGAAAGAAGTCTTAATTGTAAGGGATTTAAGGATAAAAGTAAAAAAGATTTATTTATTTCATTAAAAGAGATTTATTTATTTTATTAAAAAAATATTTAATATCTCTTTTATTGGGATAAAAATTCTTCTTCTCCAAGAAAAGAGGACACATGCATCTCCTATAAAAGAGAGAAGAAAACACACAAGAAAGGGGGTGACTAGAGAGAGAAAAAGGAGCACGATCTTCTTCTTCTTTATTTTTTTCATGGGATTGATAAATCTTTATCTTGTAATCTTTTTGCACCCATCCATGAATTGAACTAATTTAGCTTGGGTTATTGGGATTTTATGGTTGTGATACTTTTGGATTTGTTTAAGTTCTTGATTGTCTTTTTAATTCAAAGTTTGTTCATTCTTCGTTATTTAATATACTTCGAGTGAATTGGGAGAGGATCTCGAGAGTTTATCCATTTATCTAATATCGGGAGAGTTAGATTCATGAAATGAATGAACATGATCTTTATTTGAATGAACGTTGGTGAATTTTAATCCATCTTAGGGATAAGATTTGGATTTTAACAGCTAAAAGGAACACAAGATCGATTGTTGTTCACTCATGGTTAATGTAGGGATGTATCACCAAGGCATACACAATTTACCGATCCTTTAAAGTTAGGAATAAAAAGAAGGCATTGAAGAACGCTCTGCCAAGCTTTGAAGAAAGGTACCCAGTTGCCTTGACAATTAGTTGTCACGACAATTACTTGCCTCGACAGCCTGTTGCCTTGGCAATCAACGACCCATACTTTTCAAATAGTTGTCACACCACTAATCATGATAACCCGACATGCTCTCTCACTTGATATTACTCTCACTTGATATTACTCTTCTTTTATTTATTTACTCATTTATTTTATTTATTCATACTTCTACAAGTACCGATTTATTTCTTTTTACAGTGCAAGAAAATATAATACATAGTTTCACCAATCCCTGTGGAGACGATATCTTTTCTATCTATAACTTGCGATGTTTACACTTTTACTATTTGTGAAGAACTCAAATCACGCAACTAGTTTTTGACATCGTTTTCGGGGATTGGAAATAGCGATTTTGATTTTTAATTTCTTGCACCTTAATTATTAGTATTATTTTTTATATTATTTTTCTTTTTCTTTTTCATTCTTTTCGGATTTTAGGAGCTTACAAATTGTGGTTTCGTATTTGTATATGACCAGGTCGAGACCTACATCGCAAGAATATCCATTTGAACCTAAAATCGAGTGAGCTTTTAATAGAAGAAGACGTGAGCAATGAACAACAATGGGAGACCAACTCATTGATCCAATTGGCAAACCTATTGCAATTGGCAACCAGATGGCAATAAGGAATAAACCCATTGGAAACTACTTAGAGGAAGATCTCAACAATCTTGATCCAAGAGTTGTCACACCTGAAATAGAAACTGCCTACTACGAATTAAAACCAATAATGTTCAATATGATCAACATAATTGGTTAATTTGGTGGATTGGCAACAGAAGATGCTAGAGAACATATCAAATCATTCCTAGAAATCTGTAACTCATTGAAGCAACAAAGAGTCCATAAGGATGTCCTAAGGCTGAGATTATTCCCTTATTCACTGAGGGACAGGGAAAATCGTGGTGGAATAGTTTCTCATCCAGATCTCTAGAATCTTGGGCAGATTTATGTCCTGATTTTCTTGCTAGATTTTGTTCTAAAACTATGAATAATAAATTTCGTAATGATATTACTTCTTTTCGATAGGAAGATGATGAATCCATGTGGGAAGCTTGGGAACGCTACAGGGAGCTTTTGCGTAGATGTCCCATGCATGGATTCCTGGTATAGACACAAGTGACGACGTTTTACAATTCGGTAAACACACCAACTAGGATGATGCTAGATGCCTTGACAAATGGCATACTCCTCAACAAATCACTGGAAGAAGTAATAGAGATCCTAGACCGTCTTGCCAAGAACAACCATCAGTTCCCAACTACTAGAGGAGGAGGAGTCCGACGTAACGCCATGATAAATGAGCTTGATTCAACGGACACTATCTCCGCATAGTTGGCTACCTTAACCAACTTGGTTAAGAATATGCAGCAACCTAGTAATCCAAAGACGATCAAAGTAGTCAATTCCTTTTGTAATTTACGTAACGGTAGTCATGGTTCTTTCGAGTGTCCACAGAACCCAAAATCTAGCTTCTACGTTGGAAACTACAATCGAAACAACAATATGATGTCATCACATACACGCCATCCTGTAGGGAACACCCTAATTTCTCATAGAGCAACCCGAACAATACCTTCAATCATAACAATCAAACATCGAGATTCCAGTAGAATATGCCAAGGCAACAGATAACGCAACAACAATCAACACCATCTAGTTCTTCAGAAAATACTCTCAAATCTTTTATGTTAAAAACTTAATCTTACATGGTTGAGAATAATATTTTCATGAAAAGAACTGACGCTTTCATTAACAGGACTGAGATGAGATTGCAGAACCAAGAGGAAACTTTGAAATCATTAGAGTCATAGGTTGGACAACTTGCCCAGAATTTGAACACAAGACCACTAGGCGGTTTACCCGATGATACTGAGGTTGAAAAAGTAGGCCACAAATAGTGCAAGGCAATCACCACTTGGAGTGGTTTTGAGTTACCTGAGACTCTTACACAACCCATTTGAAAAAATCGAAAAGCAGAACAAACTCGAGTTTAGAATGATCCGTCTAGCAGGAATACCTTAGTTGATGTTGATGAACCAACGATTGCACAGGCAAGTCCACACGCCTCGACAACTTCATATAGTATGTCAAGACCATATGCCGAATTCCAATCAAACAAGAAGGAAGAGGAGTTTAAATTTTCACCACCATTCCCTCAAAGGCTAAAAAGGCATAAACAAGAGTATCGGTTCAACAAATTCTTAGATATCTTGAAGCAAGTCTATATCAACTTGCCTTCGATTGAGGCAATTGATCAGATGTCAAATTATGACAAGTTCCTTAAGGACATTGTATCTAAGGAAAAAGGATGGGCGAGTTTGAAACAGTTGTTGTGATGGAGGGATGCATGGCCATGTTATTCAATCGAATGTCACCCAAATTGAAGGGTCCAGACAGTTTCACCATACCTTGTGCAATTGGTGACCACTATATCGGTAAAGCACTATGTGATCTTGGAGCAAGCATAAATCTTATGCCTAAATCAGTTTTTCCAAAAGTTGGGTATTGGGAAGGCATGACCTACGACAGTTATGCTACAACTCCCAGACAAATCATATGTGCATCCAGAGGGAAAATTGAAGACATACTGGTAAGAGTTGATAAATTTATTTTTCCCGCTGACTTTATTGTTATGTATTGTGAAACATATGAGTCCACACCTATTATCCTCAGGATACCATTCTTAGCAACAGGGAGAACCTTAATTGATGTCGAAAAGGAAGAACTCACTATGAGAGGGAATGACCAGTAAGTGAAACTACATATTTTTCCAACTTTAAAGCATGCTAACAATCCAGAAGAAGGTCAAGTCATTCACACCACTATCGAATTAAATTTTGAATTAGATAAAAATTGTCACGACAATTCTATTTCCAAACCAGAGGAAATTAAAGAACCGGACAATGGAGAGTAAGATGAAGAAAATTGGATAGCAAGTCAATTGGGAAAATATTTCAAACCAATAGACTACTGAAGTAAGGAAGGTAAACTAAAAGAATCTTCTATTGAGAAACCTCCCATGCTAGAATTGAAATCATTGCCAGGGCAATTAGAACTACATTTCAATTATTGGTTAAAACTTTTTCCTAGAAAACTAAAATCGAGATGTTATGGGCCGTTTGAGGTAGTGAAACCTTTCTCTCATAGTGTCGTAATAATCCAATCCACCATCGATGGTATGAGTTTAAAATCAATGGATAATGATTTAAACACTACATTGGTTCCCATGTTGAGTGCAACAAGGAAGTGATAACGCTCGGAGAAGTATGAATATGCTCTCTTTTAGTATTTTTATTGTTGATTTTTTCCTTTTATTTTATTTTTATTTTATTTTTATTTATTTAATTCATTTTCTCTTTTTGTTTTGCTTGAATTTTAGGATACAAGAACCCATGGTCACAAAAGAATGATTCACCCGAGCAATGTAATAAGGAACATAAGGATTCAGAGCCCACCAACCAGCAAATGTGTAACACCCATAACATTTTAGGAGTCACTCATTACCATAGTAATTCCGTCACTGGCTCATCGCAAGCCAATGTTTGTTCGATAACATAAGTACAAATTAAATTTGCAGTTACCTGGTGTCCTTAGCTTGCAACCTTCCTTGGAATTTTCCATTTAATCCTTAAGCTTCTCCTTAGCTTTAATAATATTTTATCTTGATTTCAAGCACTCAATATAAATGAACATCATTACCAAACATATGCAAATTCAAACCAAATGTTAGAATCTTACTAATATAGGCATATTTTGGAAAATAAATTCCTAACAAATGTTTCAATGCTTATTCAATATAATTTCCATGTCATAATATAAATGTTCACATCCTAACTTTAGTTTCAATACTCAAACATTAATTTAGAAAATAGTACATCAACAATTGAGCAATTACCCAACAATCCACAACTCATAATTATCTATCCGGTCCCCTAACTTTTCATAAAATTATAAAATGGTCCCCAAATTTTTCTAATACTTGTAATATACTTTCTACATCATTTCCAACCCATTCATAATTTTTTAAAAATTTTCCTTATCCATTTAAGTCAAGGCAAAATACTTCAAAGTTCCAAAACTAGGGTTTTCATGATTTTGCTCGATTTTGATTCGATTCAAGCATGAAGTCAACCTTAATCCAACCTTAAAAACCTCTAAAATCAAATCCATAATCAAATTTCATCGGAACACAAAGTTCCCTTAACTTTAGGGTTTGGCTGAAACTTAATAAAGCATTTCTAGGAGGATTGAACATGTTTTAATCATCAAACAATCTTGGAAATGTTCTACAACATCAATAACATCAAAATCCTTCATCAATTACATAAACCCTAATGTGAACATAAACCCTAGAATTTAGGATGTTTGAACACAAACCAAATTTGCAAGCAATAATGATACCAAATGATAGCGTTTTTCGAATAGAACAATTTTCTATTTCATGGCATGATCCAAAATCCAAAGGATATTGCTAAAAAATGAACAAGAAAGTTTCTCTCACCTCCAAGTAGAGTACACGACCATGGGAGCTGAAAATGGCTAAGTTTTCATGAAATTTCTAGTGAATTTCATATTACTTTACGTTGTATTAAGCTTAAATGAATAAAATATTCATTTAATAACAAATGTCCATTTTTCCATTAATGAAACTTGACATTTACAATAATATCAAACCACGTAAACCTTATCATCTTCCAAAGTCAAAGATGGACAAAATATTTTGACCTTTGCAACTTTGGCCATGCCATTTTCCAAAAATTTCAATCTTGTCATTTTTCATCCAACGATCCAAATTGAGCATGGAAATAAATTCTTAAACCAAAGCTTCATATTATTTTTCATCATTTTAAGATGTGAAAATATTATCTCTAAGCTTAATTTATCATCCTTCAAATTTTCACAAAATTTCTATTCGATCTGATTTACTGAAATTTTCTCAAACTTTAACACTTTCTAGTTTTAATGCAATTTCTAGATCAAAAATCTGATTTCAATAAAACCCCTTTATAAAAATTAAACTATCCATTTATGGAATAAAAATTATTTTTGGGAAAATTATCACTTAGGTCCCTAAACTTTTTCCAAAGTTTATACTTTGACCACTTAACTTTCAAAATTTATATTTTGGTCATTATACAAAATTTTGGGGTATTACAATTCTCCCCCTTAAGAAAATTTGTCCTTGAATTTTCAATACGTACCTAATGTAAATAGGCAAGGATGTTGTTTTTTCACTTTTTGATTTCTTAGTCGAACTTTATTAAGTACTAGTTCTTTTTCATAAGTCAAATCTGTTTGAATCTCTATTTCCTATGGGGTGATAATATGCAAATGATTTGATCGATACCTCTTGAGTATCGACACATGAAAAACATTATGAATCTTGTCCATTTCCGGAGGTACTTCTAGTTATAAGTCAATGATCCAACTTTCTTTCCTTTTATTTTCTCTTTTTATAATCTTATAAGGTCCAATAAATCTCGAACTCAACTTTCTTTTTGCGTCCGAACCATAATATATATTTTTTCCAAGGTGATTATTTAAGAAATACTTCTTTATCACCTTCTTGGTATTCAATCTCCTTTGTTTTCAAGCTTGCACAAGACTTTTGTCGATTAGTAACTATCTTGAGATTATATTAAATGATTTTTTCCAGTTACAAGGTCTATCGTAACTCGTTCCTATTCCCCACTAAGGGATAGAAATCAGTTACAATAATTAAGAAGTCACTTGATGCTTTTCTTTAACTCACTGACTTGTTAGCCATTTAGAAACAAGCTCGATGATAGCTCTTTTCATACCTGCTTCTAAACTTTTTCCTCGATAATATAAACATTCATCAGACTTAACCTTAAAGTCTTTAATTTCCCCTTTTTTTTTGCTTGTTCTATCTTTGACAAGCACGGAAATTTTAATCTTTTCTCTAAAGATCCTTTATTCGATCTAGCAACATATGCTTTAAATTTAATTCTACAATGAAAACACCATATTTCTTTTAAAAATCATGTATTCAAAACTCTCAGAATAGAAATGTCTTTTGGCTTTATCGTATCAACCACCACATTAACTTTCCTATTTGTAATTGATAAGCACGTCATCA